CCGAAAAAAAAAAAAATGGCAACTTCCACCCTAAATCCCCCCAACAAACCCACTCCTTCAAAGGAATCAAACAACGCAAGTTTCCAATGAAGTCCACATAAACTCTAGCACGCTGTGGCCAGCACAAACCGTATTAATTGAAGAAATTTTAAAACAGAAGTAGGCTTAGTGGATTGATAACCCCCCCCCCACACACACACACACACCTCAATGAACCCTGTGAGAAGGATTTATTTCAACATGGAAAGTTCAGTGTGGCAAGGGCTTGAGGTAGCCAGGTGCATGCAGACATGATTCCCAGAGCTACATCTCAGCGGAATTGCAACAAATCCACGCAAATGTCAGCACAGATAAAAAACGCATGTTCTTCATGCCAGTGTCACTCATCCGGCCCGCCTGTAGCCCCTCCCCCCGGACGTTTCCAGATGTATTTCATACACAGAGTCACTGTTCTGGTTGTTTATTTAATTAACATGACAGGCCCTGCACACACTGTTTCTTTCAGCTCTACAGTTAAACTTTTTACACTTCAGACTCGAGGCAGAAAGAGTAAAGTGACTCTTTTCACTCGCTCCAACCCCCAGAAGTTTATATAGATTTTCAGACTATTTCTGTTCGTTAAAATAGCCCTTCGGTATGCTTTAAATATCTGTATCCACAAAGGGGAAAAAAAAAATCACTGGAACACAAAACATTATTTTCCCACCTTTTCCCAGTAGGGTCAGAAATCCTTGTTTACCTTTTCAGAGGTTGACATTAATTAATTTTAATTCTGTCACCAAGCCATAATCAATATTTTTGTTGATATCATTATAAACTGAGGAATAATTCTGAAATATGGTAGAAGTCACAATTTAAAATCCCATATTTCATAAATGTGTTTGATGTAAGAAACATATCGAATACTTTAGAAATGGATACAACATTCTTTATGTTCAGAAAAATAGGGTATGGCTCAGTGACAGATCACTTACCTGGATGGATATGGATATATCCATATATAATTTTAAATGCTGAATTTCTATTTCTACTAGGACTGCCTGGAGGACCAGCATGGTGGCTCAATGGATAAAGACACTTGCCACCAAGCCTAACAACCAGAGAACAATCCCAGGACCCACATGGAAGAAGTTCTACAAGTTGTCCTTTGACCCCTGTAAACACCATAGTGTATACACACACAGTCTCTCTCCTTCTCTCTCTTTCTCTCCCTCTCTCTCTCTCTCTTTCTCTCTCACACACATAATTTTTTAAACATTTAAAAAATGTTTCCAAATCATTTGAGATAAAATATTTCCGTGCTTTGACGCTGTACTGTGAAGACCATCGAGCTCCATAGCAATGGAATAAGAAAGCCCACCACATGCCTACCATCCAGTGACTACTAACCAAAACCATTATCCTGTCTTTCTGTTTCTTATTGGTGGGGGGTAGGGGCTTTAAAATGTCTTTCTCACCCCAGTGATTAATAACTTGATCCTTCTCCACTACCAAGCTTGAATTCCAATTTGAGGACAGTCACATAGGCTAAGAGAAAAAGTCACAGGAGAGTATAGCTTTTACTTTAGTAAGACAAAGTACATTTCTCTTACATTTCTGACTACCTTTGTTTCTATCCCAAAGAAATTAGTCCTTGGTGTGGCTCAAAGGCATTCATGGGAAGAGCATGATGGCTTGTATTTGTTTCCCTACGAAGCCATAACATATTAAAGGTGTAACAGGTAGCAAAATTAAAATTATATTTGGTTTGGAATCAATTAGAAATTAATGGGTATGCTGCACTCAGTCATTCCAGAGAAGTTAGTGTCCAATAGTGTGTTGTGATGCATATAGAGGACAGGCATGCCTCCAGTGGTTTCCTAAAGCTGAGAGTTGCATAACTAACTTTGTGCCAAAAATAGCCCTTATTCATCAAAATCATTCAATAAATCTAGGTATTCTGCACATTGGATGTTGTCAGGGAACAGTACCAAGTTGACAAGGTTATAGCTGCTGTCAGATGTAAGAGTTCACTTCCAGAGGACACATACACCAGCCTTCCCAGACCATCAGCCTAAAAATCGTAGCTTGACACACTCATCTAGAATCACAGCCTCAGCCTTGAGGCTACAGGGCTGGCAAGGCTGAACCCCTGAAAGATATGTCAACTTGTTCCTCCTCAGAAGATACTTCCTGTTGCCTTCAGACACACCTGGTGCCTCCCTCTCTGACCAAAAACCAGACCTGCTTTCCCTTTCTGTGCTGCAAATTATCTGTGTTACAAACTCAGTTCTAAATGGGCTATCTCACAGAATTCTAGACTTCAGGGAAGGATGGAAGGGAGGGAGGGAGGGGGGAAGGCAGGCAGGCAGGCTTGCCTTATGAGAATTTTAGCATATATTCTTTGTGCCTTTTTAGAAAGCGGAGCCACTGATTAGAGAGAATTCATGGATTAGAGAGAATTCATGAGCAGTGGTCACTGTCACCTACACAGACAAGATAAGTGCCCCAGCTGTCTCGCTTTTAAAGCCCACAATGAGCAAAGCTAAGTCAAACCTGGGAGCCCTCTGCCCTGCGTGCCTCTCAGTACTATTTCAAACTCACTGGTTGCCTATAAGGTCTGCCTTATTCCAGACATAACTAACCTGACAGCACTGGGAAGTAGTAGATGTTCCTTTTATAATTATCTTCACTCTGGACTTCGTCAAGTATGCAAATGATCACGACACCCTTTGCCCTCTTAATCAGAAGTTTGCTTCCTCGTGATAAAAAAGATAAGCCATTTACTATACGGCTCCTAACCTTTTCACAGAGTTCGGCCAACGTATGAGCTGTCACCTCACCCTATCTCATAAGATACTATCCCATGACAGCCCCACCCCGTCGACACAATTATGTTCAGCAACAGCTTTAATGGGTCATATATAAAGACCAGCATTCCGTGAGCACAACTTCACCCATGCCCTCGTTAAAACCTCAAGGGTCCAGGTTGCTGCTGCGTGCAACCACAGCTTCCTAGCACCCTGAGTGAGAGGTTCTTGCTCTAGAGCATTCTTCATCAACACTCCTTCAGCGAAAGACAGTTGCCAAAGAGGATGATCAGGATAGATGATAAGTGGGCAATTATCTAAGTAACTAATTGATAAAACCTTTTGGGAAAACTAACAAGCTCAATAGGCCTTTACGGGATCATTACTGTGCTTCGCTCACCAGTGTGACACAGAGAAAACCTATACAAATCTGTGTTTTACGGCAAAGCTGCTTTATGCACCTGAAGACCTTCTGGTCTGTCATCCACTGTGAACTCTCTCAATCCGAAGTCTCAGAAATTTAGTTCTGAGGGCTAAGTGGCATTATCGTGGAGTCCAGTTGCTTCTGATTCAGCCCAGATTTCCCCTGTAAATTAGGTGTCAGTGTTGGCAAACACCACATCACATCTCCCTTTAAGTTAACACGTTGTCAATGTGTTGTTTTTCCCAATAGTCATGTTTCCACTCAAAAAGTTCTCTTCTGCAGCCTTTCGTACTTAACTTACTTTATTCTAATGATCTCTAAATCTCACATTTAATTGTCAGTCAGTGAACTACATTTTCCCCTCTACTCTTTAAAGCCCAAAAAGGTTTGTTTCTGCTAAACAAAAACAAAAAAAATAAATAAGTACATTTGTTTTAAAGTAAACACAAGCATGTGATGCTGTCATCCAGTCTGCTACATAAAAAGCCAAAGAGCCTCCCAGCCGGGTAATCAACTCCATTTCAGAAATAAACCACTCACACCATATGGTGACTGATGTTTCTAAGGAACACCTAGCCAATTACCCCTAGAATAACCCCAAAAGAAAAGGCTTGCTATTGTCATAGGAACAGCCTTTCACCCTGAAAATTATCCTCGAATTTAAATAGGAAAAGTGTAAATTTCCATTTAAAATGCACAATCGGCTTTCTGGATTCCCTCCTGCCTGGGTCAGACCTGCCTGGTAGAGGAAATTGAGTCGAGAAAAAGAAAACCTTCTCAGGTACAACTTGTGTATAAAATTGGAACTGGTTCCCCTATACCACGCAGGGTAACTATTCTGTGACACTAAAAACATTTGCAACCCCTCTCCGCCCCCCCCCCACAGAAAAGAACCGCCTAAACTGGCACATGCAACTTCACTCTGAGTTCAAGTCCCCTGTCTCCTCCTTCCTCAAAGATACATATCGCTAGCAATCTTGGAAAGTCTGGATTGGTGTTTTCTGCAAACCCTGAGGAAGTCACTTGAATTTCTCTCCACCTAGGCTTGTAAATGCTCCCGGGAAAGGTTAGTTTTCTGAGTGAACAATAAACGTATAGCGTCCAGCCCTGCACCATTCTAAAGTTCACACACAGCCCTCGAGTGTAAAACCTGAGTTCAGAGTTCAGCACACACCAGTGTGTAACAACTAAAGATTATCTACAGCCATTCTGGCAGCCGTCAGATGCGGCCTCTCCAAACCCACAGCAAAGCAGAAGCGCCCGTGGGAACCTCACGTCAAGGATGCCTTGCGGGGGGGGGGAACTAAAACGCTTCTACTGGCTCTTATAAATAAATGTTTACCTAGCACTTTAATAAGAAATACATTTTATCATTTTTTTTTAAAAAAAGACACACATGTAGAAAGTACACGTGTTGAAAGCCACTTACTTCCGATAAATAAATAAATTCTAAAAATGTAGGGAGGGTAGAAATGCTTCGGGGAAGCTCGGGGACCCACAAGCCAAGTAGGTGTGAGAGATTTGAAAACATTCCCCAGCTGTGGAAGCCCGCGCACCGCCACTAAATTCTGTCATTTTTTTCTTGCTTTCTTTCTGTTGCTGTGCTTGTAAACTACTCCACTAGATAGAGAACGAGCGGGAAAAAAAAGAAACAAAACAAGCAAGCAAACAAAACTACTTTCTTAGTGAGTGTGAAGTTGTACTGCCTTCCTGGTCGCCTGCGCTGCTCTCACCGCACTGTTTAAGTTTTTCCCCCGAGCGCCCCCAAAGGCGCAGCCCCGGCTTACCTGCTCCCTGGGTATGCAGGGCAGGGAGGTCCTCCGGTGCGACTTGCCGCTGCAGCCAGACATCTCGCCGGCCACGACCGAGCTGGACCGCCTCCTCCTCTTCCACCCCGGAATCTCTTCCTTGGTCCTCGCGCTCAGCTGGGACCTAAACCGCTCCCTGGGCGGAGCCGGCCCGGAGCACTGCAGCAGGATCTGCTCGGCGTACCTGGCCAGCAGCAGCCCCAACACGGCCGCCAAGTACGCCAGGTAAGGTCTCCAGGCGACCTTGAATCTCTCCAGGGAAACCAGGGCCACCGTCCTGAGCGCGCTAGTCAAGGCGACCATGAGAACGCCCAGCCTCAGCCTCAGCACCAGCCATGTCGCGCCACCCAGGCAGCTGAGCAGGACCCCCGCGGCGGGCAGCGACAGCAGGCGACCGTCCCCCACGCCCAAGGAGAGCTGCACCAGCGCTTCTCCGGCGCAGCAGGCGGCCAACAACGCGATGGCCAGAGGCAGGCGCACCCCGGCGCGCAGCAGGCACAAGCCCATCCAGAAGAAGGCGCACAGGAGACTGAAGAGCAGCGCGGCCGGCTGCAGCCAAGGGCTGAGCTGCGCGCCGCCCCCGGGAGCACCTCCCCGAGGGCCCGGGAAGACGCCCCCTCGGGCTCCTTCCTCCTCCTCCTCCTCGGCCGCCGCCTCCTGACTCGACTCCAGCTTGCCTCCGACCTCCCCGCCGACCAGCCTCACCAGCAGCGCCAGCAGCACGGACAGGGAGCCCGCGCACAACGCCGAGGAGAGTTGCGGCGAGCGCCGGGGCGGCTGCCACGCCTGGGCTCCCCGACAGTCTCGGCAGCCCGAGTTCCGCGGGGATGGAGGGGACGCGCCACGACCGCGGTGGTCCCAGCTGGCCACGCGGGCGGGGCTCGCCCTTCCGAGGCCCGGCTTGGCCGGGTCTTGGGTGGCCTCGCCCGGCACTGCCATGCTGTGAGTCCCACCCGTGCGCCCGCGCCCTTCCCTACCCCCCTCTCGGAGTTCCTTGTCCCCGATCTACTCGGAGTTTCAGCGTTGCAGAGAACTCGGGAGTGCGAGCTGAAGACTTCTTCAAGTTGGCAGCAGGCAGGATCAGGCTTGGATTCCCCTCTCCCCACCCCTCTCCTTCGCTCTCTTCCTTTCTCAAAAACCCTACGCTCCACCCTCAGCCCGAGTTTATGCCCTGTGGGGGGTCTCTCTCTTCTTCGGGATTTTAACACTTGCCCAACACCAAAGGTTGCTCAGGGACCGCTGATGCCCCGGCAGCCGGGGTCGCAGGGCGAGCTCTGGCCATTCCCGGGCTGCTGAGCGGTCGACCTACCCCCTCCCCCTTCCTCCCTTCTCCCGGCAGCAATCTCTCTCTCTCTCTCTCCCTCTCTCTCTCTCTCTCTCTCTCTCTCTCTCTCTCTGTCTCTCTCTCTTTCTCTCCCCTCTCTCTCTCCCTCTCTCTCTCCCTCCCTCCCTCCGTCTCTCCTCCCCCTTTCTTTCCCTCTTCCCCTTTCTACCTCTCCCTCTCTCCCCGTTTCTCCCCCCCACTCCCCTCCCCCCTTCTCTCTCTCCCTCTCCTCTGCCCCTCTATCCCTCTCTCTCCTTGACGGATCTTCCTCCTTGCTGCTCCAGGACACAGACCTCGTTTCCCAGAGGTAGGAAGCTAAGACTCCAACCCCTCCTGTGTCCAGTTCGTGGCAAAGAGTAGGAGATAAAGAAAAGGAGGCTGAGACTAGTCTGGAAGTTGCTAAGTTCCACCGGAAAGAGAGCCTAGGATAGAGGGATTGCGCGAGCTGGCAAAGAAGGGGGAGGAGAGAGATGAAAAGTGAGGCTGTTGTCTTAGTCTTCTTTAAAAATCATTTTTCGTTCTTTTTGATGCACGATGGCTGCTGGTTTTGTAGGGGAAAAACAGTGGAGGTGATTGCTTAAAATTCCCAAGGAGGCTTCTGAAGGGGCCCACAATTCTGTTCTCTGGCTTTTAAGCTGGCGCAGGGGCAAGAGGTACCGCTCAGGAAGGGACCACTCCTTTCCTAGAGCTGGGCATCCCAGCCATAAAGGGCAGGGACATTGGGACAGCCCAGTGCTGGGGTCTGCGACTGGCCCGGGGGGGGGGCGGAGGGGGAGGGCTTGAAAGCCAGCATGCTTGTCCCTGTCATAGAAAAAAGTGACACTTCTTCTGTCTGAGTGATTTAACAGGCTCAGAGGTACCTGGGGTAAAGGTGTTCCTGGATAACTGGAACCATTTCAATGGCTTTTTCGTTCTGGGACTGCTCTAGGTGTAAGGTCTGTTTGCAACATAGAAGCCACGCCCATTTATCAAAGTCACATTCTAATTATTTACTTTGTATGCCACTGTGAGTGTGTATGTGAGATTACAGGACAATTTGTGGGAATCAACTCCATTTCAGGGTCTGAAGGCCTACAAGTTTGATGGCAAACAAGGTACCTGCTGCCCCTGAGCCATCCTGTGGGCCCAAGCGTGCCTGTCTTGTTCTTTCAAGGGGAGCAAACTCAGAGTTACCCAGAACACAACGCATGGCAGCAAACACATTACCTGCTGCCATCCAGCCTTCTCGAGGGCCTAAACCTATCTGTCTTGTTCTTTCAAATGGAATGATCTCACAGTATCTAGTGCACAAAGCCATTTAAGAAAAAAGATACAGACAAAAAACATATAAAGAAGGGGAGGTGCTTATTAAGGAATGGAGAGATCGCTCAGCAGTTAAGAGCCTCTACTGATTTATTTCAGAGAACCCAAGGAATTCCCAGCATCCACACCTGGTGGCTCAGAACCACTTATTTAACCCCAGCTTCAGGGGATGCTCTGCCACCCTCCTCTGGCCTCACAGCCACCTGCACTCACACATGCTCATTCACACGTGACTTAAAAAAAAAAAAAGTAAGTATTTTTAAAAATCCATCTGGGAGTGATGGCGCGTGCAATCCCAAGAGTACTGAGAGAGAAAAACTTCATGGTGTGGAAGCCAGCCTGGGATGCACAAGCATGCTGAAAAGAAAAAGAAAAATGCATACACACCCCCAACTGCAGTGCAGAAGCATCATTGGTCAACAGTTGTTGATTGTATGTGGTGAGATGCACTATTTGCTGGGGCGCCTTTAACAGTGATTGCAGAACTAGGAAGCCCTGTTAGTGAAACACACCCATGAAGAACAAAGCCCCTTTCTGATTAATGATTACATGGCCCTATACCACAGTATGTGGTACTTGAAAAACCACGTTAACTTTTTTTTTTTTTTTTTTTTTTTTTTTTTTTGGCACTTTCTGAAAAAGAAAGAATTCTCAATATGTTCAGCAGATTTCAAAATGATGCTGCAGTGTTCCTGGAGGAAAAACATCCACTCTTGCCTGAAGTATCTAGGTGCCATTTGAGCCTCACAAATAATAATAAACTGATTTTGTCTCAATTATCTTGGTGATCCAAGTTAAAGTGTTTATGACCCGGAGTACTTGGATAATTGGCTCAAAATGCCACTGTGTTTTGTGTGTCGAGATGAAGCAATAAAATATGCCAAGAGGGGACAGATGAACTAAAAAGGATTCATGGGGGCAGAGGGAAAACTCGGCTGAAGTTGTAGATTTCTTTTTATGGGAAACAGCCTACTGCAGCCCCAGTTGGGCATTCACAACGCATCAGGCATAAATGAACAGGAGGGGGTGTGACCCGACAGCCAACTCCTCCTTGTCACATGTCCAGAACTGTGCCACTGCCCAGGAGCATGCGTTGGGCAGCTATTCAGTGGCAGCACCATCTGTCTAGAAATTAAGAAAAGGAGTAGCAAGGCCTTTGCCAAAGACAAATGAGCCCCTAGCATGCACACACAGTTCTGTGAATTCCCTTCTTAGCCATGATTCATATGCCAGAGCCTACCTGAGACATTTGAAAGTAAAGACCTGCTCCCTCTTGATATGAGGAAAGCACATCAAATCAAAATCCAGGCACATGTTGTTAAATCTGAAAAGAAAAATATCTGAATGACTATTTCCATTTTCTCTGTCTTCTACCTCCACACACAACTCAGTTTTTTTTTTTTTTTTCCAGGAAAAATAAATAGTGGCATATGATCACCAAAACAGAACTCTTACAAGATTGACATCGGACATTGTTTAAAAGCTGCCATACACAGACTGGTCAAATCTCAGTGGGTAAAAATGCTTACTGTGCGAAGCCCCCAAGGACTTGAGCTCAATCCCAGGAACTACATAAAGCTGGAAAGAAAGGACTAACTCACAAAGTAGTCTCTAATCGCCATGCATGCACATGATCTTTCAAACAGTAATAATTAGTAAGAATAACAAAGTGTCCTAGTAAAAACACTTGTCATCTACCAATAGTAGCAAAATATCTCTGGGTCTGTGTGTTGATGGCATCTTAGAGCTGGTTAATAATATAAGAGAAACAATGCCCTGGCACCAGGCTTTCTCTTATTTTCAACAAAACTCACAATCAGAAAGTTAGCTGCCCCACTGAAAGGAAAGAAGGTTCAATTTCTACCTATTACCATCCAGAAACCCAAGGAGGGTGACAAAAAGCATCCAGACAGAAAGCTGCAGGGACAGACAGGGAGGCTACTATGAACACTGCCCTTTGAAACAGGTAGTGATCAGTCATGATTCAGGAAAGCAACCACATTAATGACAGAAGAAAACGTCTAGCTGGAGAAAGCACTCTATGTGGCCAACTCCAGCCAGCGAGGGTTAATTAGGTCTTTCTGAAAATCCTTTACACTTTGCCAAATGTAGTTTCACTTAAGAGGACTCTCCTGGAATATATATATATATATTTAGTTAGTTTTCACTCCTGGGTATGGCTTTATTTATTCTCTACTGCCTGTCTGACCTCCCTGCACTGACAATGAGTTAACACTGAGTACCTACAACAGGAAAAGTGTCTTAACATCCAGCCCCCTCCCTCTCTTTTCTACCTACATACTCACTTTCTCCTCCATTTTCTCTCATCGAGAGAGAGAGAAAGAGAGAGAGTCCATCTACCCAGCTGCCCAGGTCCACAAAGGATACATTGCCTTAGCTCGCTTGCTACCATTCTAGTCTATTAACAAAAGCACTTGTTTCCATCTCTAAAAGATGACCTGAATCTCTTTTATTCTTTGCTTCCCTTTTACAGTAACCAAACAAACGTCCATCATCATCTCCAGCTAATACAGTTGCAATAACTAACTGCTCTTGCCTTCCCTTTTGTAGTTCACTTTCAATGGAACAGAATGATAGTCCAAATGTATAAATTGAATGATTGTGTATCCCACTTTGAAACCATGCAAAGGTCCCTTACTGTACTGCAGACTCCAAAGGACCCAGGACAACCCACAAAGTCCTCCAAGACCTTTCCAGCTGTTTGCTGACCTCTTCATGTTCTAGTATCCCCACTTTGCTGGTACAGTCCCGACAGATACCATGGTCTCATTCCCAGAAGTAGACTCTGTGCTGTCCACCTCCCTGCACAGAAATGACAGAGGGATGCTGAACACCCAAGCTGTGGCTACCACAGAGAAGCAGAGAGGTCTTATTTTAATTATTTAAAATGTAGTAGATCTGTTGACTTGTGGGTCCAGTCACAAAGACTGCATGTTTCATACCTCAAGCCATGCTCATGGTCTTCCGTAGCTACCAAAGTGACAGGGACTTAGGGAGACACAGGTTGTCCCACACTGGCTCCTTCTGCTTCAGTCCTGGCTTCAGGTGTTACTTTCCTTTTGAAGAAATGTTGATTCCCAACAGCTGTGACAGTAGTGCACCTGACCAAAGCAACTACAGGGAGGAGGGACTTGTTTTGGCTCACATTTGGAGGTGCTACAGTTTGCCATGATGGGGAGGGCATGTGTACAAGAGTGATTCTAGCTATGGCAACAGGGCTATGAGACAGCTGGTTATGGAGGTTTAATAAGGACCAGGAGAAACAGATAGGCCGGATAGATGTTTATTCAGGGAGAA